ACACCTGCGTGAAATGCAAACAAAAGTGTATAGAAGAATATTATAAGTGCGATTCATGTTTACTTCGGATTCACAAGAAGTGCGCTAACATCACACCATCGGAAGTAAAATGCATGCCTCTGCAAAAGCGAACCTTGCTATTAATATTGCGGTGATTGTAAGGGTTTTTTGGTCAGGATGCCTATGATGATAAAGTTAATGGAAGAGATGAAGAAGGATTTAGAAATAATTAAATCTGAAATAAAGTCGTCGTCAAAGGACGAATCATATGCAACAGCTTTGAAAAGTAACCAAAACAACAAGGACATCAAAACAAATTTGCCAACTATTGTCATCAAGCCAAAGGTAGGACAAAATTCAACAAAAAACAAGCAGGAAATTGAAGAGTCAATAAATCCAGCAATGTTAAATATAAGAATTAGGAATCTGAAAAAAGCCAAACGGTGAAATATAATAGTTAAATGTGATACAAAACAGGATATGGAAAAATTTAAAGAGGAAGCTGAAAGAAAACTTAAAGGAAAATATGAAATAGAACTACCTAAGAAAAATTCCTCAAAAATAAAAATACCTGGTTATTCTGGAGACGAATCCATGAAGAATTTAGAATCAAAAATTCAAAAATTCGAAGGCAAAATAAATGGACTGGAGCACTTGACCATTCAAGAATAACTTATATTAGAAGGCCAAAAAAACAACAGAACTCTACAGTATATGCAGAGTGCTCGGGAGAGTTGCTGTGCAAGATGCTAAAATATGGAAAGCTATACATAAGTCAAGGTTTTCATCATAAAAGCTCCAAATGTACGAAAAATGAAGTGTGTGGAACCTGTGCTGGAAACCACAGTACCCGTGGATGTAAGAAAACAAAAATGTGCATAAACTGCCATGTTGGCAAATGAAAGATACTACCTTTAACTTAAGACCAATCACACAGCCCTTGACCCGGAATGCCCATCTCTGAAATACCACATAAATCTTTTGAGAAACAAAACTAATTATGACTAGTTAACGCTATTTAATACACAAGACGATATATTAGAACAAATAAATGAAGAAAATGATATACAAGGAGAAATGGTGGACATGAAAAGGTTAGAAATTATTAAAAATAACAAAGAATATGTATTAACTATAATTCATTTTAATATCAGAAGTTTAAATAAAAATATTGATAATTTTATTTTATTTTTAGGAACATATAAATTGCATCATATAGATATTATTGTACTTACTGAAACTTTCCAAATTGATTCCATAAAAAAATACAATATTGCAGAATATCACACATTTTATAATGAGGCTACATATAATAAAAACGATGGGGTTGTTATATTGGTAAAAAAATTCACAGATTTTGCAACATGCGCAACCATTATAGGCGTATTGAAAATACCAGACACAAGTCGGCGGTTGTCGGCAATCACCTGTTTTTTTACATTTTATATTAACTGGTGACGTAGTTTGGAAGAGCTTAATAGAAATATAAAAGAGCTAAACCTTGTTTGGAAAGCAATTTGACATTCGTGACGTCAGCACTCCGGCAGTCTATGGTGCATCCAGACCTGACGAGCCGAGCGCGAGACGAGAGCTAGACAAGAGCGAAACGAGAGCGAGACATTTTCTATCCATTTTTACGCAAACCTGCCGCGAGACAAGCCGAGTGGGATCATAGTGAAAGGAAGCCAAACACATATTAAATTGCAATTGAATATAACAAACCATGGCCAAATAATAACGCATACAGTAATAAATGTTTGTTTCTTTAATATGGTATTCGGTCTTTAACATGGCATTCATCGTCGGTTTTCCCCTTTTTGGCTGTTTTCCCCTTTATCCCTTACTCCACGTTTTTTACATAATATACGTTTTTTAACGTTTTTAGAACAAAATGTTAACTAAAAAAGTTATTGGTAAGGTGAAGAAGCACATTTTAACATTGCTATAGAGTATATTTTCTAATGGGAATACCCTATTTTTTATTTTTATTGGGTTATGCATACGAACAATTCGGTAACTTTTTTTGCATTTTTTGATATATATCTAAAATTAATAGATGTTGTAATAATTCAATTTGTTTAAAGAAATGTTGGATTTCGGTAGGGTAAAAATTATCAGTGACGCAAAATTTGTAAATACTATCAAAAAAATACTATCAAAAATAGTTGAAATTGATAAATAAGAGCTAATATCTCGCAGTCGGGCAAGCCTACCAAAAACACGTCCAGGCTTTCGAGCTTTCTTTGATCGGCCGTTGAAAAACCAGACAGGGGACGGATAGCAACGAGGCAACGTGGGTTTACTCGCGAGGCTCTCGCGACACTCGTCCACACAGCGAATTTGGAATGTCTCGCGCTCCTCTCCCCAGGTCTGGACGCACCATAGTATCGCTGATCGCCATTCGCAAATATATTCCAGATACGTATAGTGAACAAGTGAACCGTTCGCAACGTTAAATAATTTTAATATTTAATTTTTATCGTGATGGCTTTTTATGAAAGTGTATACATAGAATTAATTGCATTAATTTGCAATAGCACTTCGAACCCACAGTTTTGTTATGGAGCCAGATTAAACCAATCAGAATGAGTATTATATATATATATATATATATATATATATATATATATATATATATATATATATATATATATATATATATATAATATATATATATATATATATATATATATATATATATATATATATATATATATATATATATATATATATATAATAAATTGAAAATAACCGAGTTATTAAACTTGAAACTTTGAAAAAAAAATTGCGACATTTTGAGAGCCGCCGGGGATCTCGCGGATCCCCGGCGCAGGGGAGAAATCTCGCGGATCTCGGCTTGTTCGTCGCCCGCTGTTGCCACATCGACTAGAAAGACTTAAAAAGTACTTGCAAAATTCCACACCACCCAAGAGGTTCTGCAGCGGTGTGTTACTTTTTTTAAGTGGGTGTTCGCCAGTAGCCCTACTTTCCACATTCCACAAAATAAACTAAAAGAAAAAAAAACTACCAAACAATAAAAAACATATCCCTATAGCAGAGATAACTGCACAGCTTTCTGTTTTATCCATTTTACCACTCTTAAAACTGCACATAACACTACACTTAACAACACTTCACTACAATTCTTAACAACACTATGCAAATGTTCAACTGTGGAAATATTGGCTCCTCTATTAATTTTAGAGCTAAATCGTAAATGGTTTTAAAGATACATTACAAATTTGAACAAGGGGATCCAATATCTGGACAGTTCAAAATTTGCATGGATATCTATATTTCCAACGATGATGCACCATCCGGTATACCCTTCGCTTCTGACTGCATACTATTATAATAATTGTTCAAAATGACGACCTCCATTTCCAATACATGCTCTCCTTCTTCTGAGCATGGAATTTTTAACGTTTTACAGCAATTCTTCGTTGCTTTTCCCGAATCCCTCAAATGCTGAACCATACTTACAAAGGTTCGAGCATTAGGATTTGTCTATTCGGATACTCTTCGGAATAAAGCCTCCGAGATTCTACAGCGCTTTCCCCTGCCAGGAAGTATGCTCTTCTTAGCATATCCACCTTCTCCGGAATTGTATACTCCATCGCGATTTGTCTATACCGATGCCGATTACTGACACAAAAATATGCACTAACGAACATTTCACAACACTTCAAACACAATCTCCGATCACTTTCTCGAATTTTAAAAGCTCGATAATATTAGAAATTAAATCGATTTCTAATAGTGTACATGCTTTGTGTACATGCGATTAATAATGTCGTTAGTCGTTAATATAATACAGGAATCTGTAATTTTCTCCCCACCGCCCATTTCATTGGAAAAAACGGCGGCAAGTTTTCTGCTTTTGAAATTACGATCGATGGCATTTTATTGTGTAAAATTGGATGGTAAATGGCATCGATCATAATTTCTCATGCAATTTAACGTCTTAGCATGCATACTTATTTTTTTATCAAAAAAGCTTTATAGAAAATAAAATAACTGAACATGTTAGTATAGCTTTATTACTAATTAAACTATTCAAAACATGTTTTGATATTACTAAAAAAAATTAAGTAAAAAATATAGCAAATTTTATAGTTTGACGACGTTATAATTAACAATAGGCAAATGGAAAAAATTACCTAAGTACATATTAGAGACATAATTCCATACCTAGAAATACCGTATGGTCGAAAAAAACGGCGTCCAGAATGGCTTGAAAATAACGGTCGGTGACATTCTCCATAAAATTTTACACATAAATTGACAGCGATCTTTATTTCATAGCCATCGCTGACGCCGTTTCTTTTTCACGATCATATTGTATTTCCCATTAATCGCATGGTGGCAATACTAATTTATATTTAAAGAGATATATCTAAATGTGTATAAACTAAGTATTTTATTAGCAATCATATTTAAGCTATTTGTACTCATATCATATTCTAATTATTTGAAACTTGAAACATACTATCTGCTCCTATTATATTCATGTAACTAAATTTTCTAATATTAATCAGAGAGTTGATAATAAAAAACAAGAGTGGTGTTTTGAAAAAGTAAAGCATAACTACTGTGTATTGACTTTATTGTGAAAAGCAACCTATTTGAAACACATTTACGTAACTTACAGAATAGTTTAAAAAAGAACTTACACACGTTTTTTTAGTCTATTTTCTTTATTATATTAGGTATATTGATAACTTCCTAAGAAATTTTGTTAGCACTTTTAGTTAGTTTACAATTTTTCTCAATATATTCTGCATAATATATGATTCGATACATTCACCTAGAATAAAATCAATAATATCATTTATGAATAGAAAACTACATGTATAACTTTTTCGTTAACATTTGCAATTTCAGACCATAACTTGTCTGAAGAGAACTTTCTTGGTTTGTTTAAAAATATCTTACCATATAACATAAATTTACATCTGAATTAATCTAATCAGATCAAATTTTCTTCATAGTATAGAAAACATCGAAACTATTTGACTGGTAATCGAGCTATCAATAAGCTGACACTAAAATTTAATGCATAATTAAATGGGATAATTATTTTCATGTAAAACAAAACTTTATACATAATAAGACTACAGGGAGTACATAATTACAACACTGTTACTGACATTTTTGATTTAATGTATTGCTTGGTATTTGTAGATCTATTATTGTATTGTGATTACAATTGCCTTCTCCATTGATGCATCCTAATTTAAGATTACTGATTTTCTAATACGTAATTAAAGTGAAATTATTTTTCCTACCATTACATAAATAATTTCTTCCTACCATTAGGTAGATACCTGAAAGGTTAATAAATTAAAAAACGAATTTATTAAGACATTTAAACTGTTTACCTCATTTCTCACATATTTTTGACACAAAACATTATAAATAAATAAAAAATATTCGTATACCAACTGAATTAAATATTTCATTTTGAATAATAAAAGTTCTTTTTACAGGTTTATTTGGCATTATTTGCATTGTTTTTTGTTGTTTTCTGTTTTGTGCGAGTTTAATAACCCACAAATAACCTTAAACAGAAACATAACCTTAAACTACAGAACTACACACCATACTAGGGATGTAGAATTCGAATCGATTTTAATCGGAGATCGATTTTTATCAAATCGACGTGATTTTTATCAACGATCTTTTGGTATAATCGATATTTTTTTTTAAATCGAAGACCGATTTTATTTATACAGTTTTACAGGTTTATTTATTTGTTGGAATAAGAAAAAACACTTTAGTTTTGCTGGAATATTTGTTTGCAGTGCATCCCTAGTAAAAGGCCATCTAGCAGTGAATTGAAAAATTAAGTGTAAGTGCTCGCTGCCGCATGCGCCGATGTTTGTTTATCACTTTGATATCAGGTGTCAGATTTTGTCGGGGCTTCCCATATTTTTATATATTTTTAGATAACGTAGAATATTCTTTGATTTTACCTTAATTCTTTCTTGTACTTTTATTTTATTTTTGGGACATCCCTACTCCATACCTTAAACATTTAGAAAATTGATTTATCTATCTTTATACAACCACCAAAACGTTGACCCATAATAGTAATACATCAGTCCAGTAGAGGACACTAAGTCAAAAAATTCCCAAATAAAAATTTGTAATTTGTAATTCCTTCCTGTTCCTTCAGTGTTTTCGAGATCGTCGTTGGGGTTGCGTCGGTTTTGAAGAAATGTCGAAGAAAACCCCGTAATGTCTGTCTACCATTAACCGCCGGATATAAGTTATTAAAGCAAGTTTTTTTTAACATTTTTTATTGAATTTATGAGTTTAGTGTTTGATTATTATCATGTGAAAAATTTTAAATAATATTTTAAAAGTGATAGGCATGTGATAGGTTTGTGATGTTCAGTTTAATAGATATTTGGTGTGTATGTGTTTGCGTATATGTGTGCTGGATAAAAAACACTTTCATCAAAAGGGTAAGCTCTAACTAAACACTAAAGGTTATAATTGTTTATTGAAACGATTGAAAATATTTCCTAATATGGCGAAAAAAGAAGCTATGATAATTGTTAAGATTTATTTTTTCAGTTTACTCCACTGTTAAAAGTATTTAAAATATTGCGCGTTTCTCTAGAATTAGTAGAGCAACCTACACTAATATGAATAAAATAAATTTTCGTATTTTTTTCTGAAGCAACTTAAAATAATTGAATTTATAGATAAACATGCAGAATGTGGGTATGGTAGGAGGTGGCAACGTTGCATTCTCTCCGACACTCGCTATGCCCGGTAAAAGAATTTCCCGGGGAGTGAACAGTGGCACTCAAAAGTTTTTCAACATTTTCCGGAAAATATCAAATTTTCAACATTTTTTTTTTCGCAAAAAAAACCTCATAGGCGTGTTTCTGGGGTTGAACTATACTACCAGTTAAAATATCTGCACTTATTTCTGGGGACACTTATGTATATATATATATATATATATATATATATATATATATATATATATATATATATATATATATATATATATATATATATATATATATATATATATATATATATATATATATATATATAGAGTTTTCTGAAATTATTTGTTAGCTTCTTAAACAAAACAGACCCATAATAATTCAAACCTTTATCATCCAAGACTATGAAGTAATCTCACGTCAATTTTTTTTTAAATTATTGCATGCCTTAAGTATTTGCAAAGTTAACAAAAATATTTCTTTGCATACCTTGCAATTAATATATTTGGTCTAATTTATCAGTTCTGCATCATATCCGAAATTCAGATTGTGTGTGACACAACGAAGAGTCAACGTGCAACGTGAAAGACGAGAAAAATGGCAAGTAAAAAAAATGTAAAGTTTTAATTACTAATTAAATAGTCCTTCCCTTGAGTTCTTCTGCCTAAAATCTATATTGCCTTCCCTAAAATTTTAAATATAAATGATTGAAACTCATAACAAGTTTACCACAATTTAAACTTAAGATAATTATTTAATTAATAAATCCATAATTATATTAAAATATAACACTTACGAAGTTAATAAATATTAACTATTTATATTTAATCATTTAATATTTATTCTGATAAAAACAGGCTTAATTTTTTATTTTAGAAATCATACAGGCTACAGGCTATAATCATTAATATGACTATATTAACAATACTTAAATTAAAATTTATTTGAAGGAATGCTACTTGAAGTATTAACTCGGAATAATTATTAAAAACTGCTCATCGCGTTATCGATGTCGGCGTCTTGTCACTGTTGTCTGGCTGATTGGCCGTTTAGGTACCTATAGTTTGATTTCAGATAATGCAGATTTTAATGTGCCATTTGTGGTTTGATTCTTATGTATATATACATATGTTTTTTTAAATGGAAACCATAGTTGGCCATGGGCTCATAAAAAGCGCCATTTTTTAAGCTTTTCAGTGATATAAGCTATAATATGCTTTTTTCCCAAATTTACTGAGTTATAGCCAATTTTTATCTTTCTTGACTAATTTCACTTAGTTAGCCATGGAAACAAGTGCAATCGTCGTTGCTCTTACAAATGTGAAACTGTCACATCTAAGCTTTGTAAATTAAAATAAACAAAAATTGTAAATATTAATTTTTCAAATGAAGAAAAGCGTATAGGATTATTGGTTTAACTTTTCTTGGACATACAGTTTCGAGGATACGTTGACCGGTGGACGTTACTTACGTTCTTTTTAGAGAATGATTTTCAAGACATGTTAGAAAAGTTAAATTTAGATACTCCAACATGACTTCATTATGACATCCTCCCCCCCACACAATGATAGAAATGTTATAAATTATTTGCATAATAATTATGTACTCAGGGATAGAAAGAGGTGGACCAATTCCTTGGACCTCCTCGATCACCTGACCTATCCATTTTAAGATTTTTTTATGCGGTTTGATTAACAAGGTTTACGAAAGAACTTATGAATTAAGCACTCGAAGAGGCGGTACAGGAGAAGTTTATTTAAGTCGACCGGTCGTTCTGTGATAATAGCTAGAAATTCAGTTTTAATAAGATGCATTTATGTACTGAAAACAATGGCGGATTTTTTGAACATTTTCTAAAATAACTGAAAGTGTACTATGTAGTGATACTATTTTTAACATTGAAAATGTTTCTGTTATCCTATATAAGGGAGCCCAAATCGAATTAAAATGCTACATTTGCCACACCATGACGTCATATATACAAGGGTATAGGAAATCTCGGCGCGGCGGCGGCAGTCGGCCAGCGCGCGCAAAAACCATTACATCGCTAATTGTTTATTGATATATCTTTATTAGTTTAAAAGCAAAAAATATGGGGTTTGCTTTGATACCTTGTCAAGACATAAGCGAAACTTTTAAATTGTTTCTTTTTTTCATTTAGGCCTTCGTTTTTCGTTAAATGAAAGTTATATTAAAAAATCTATTTTTAAACCAAATTTTCGCATGATTGAAATGATTATTCATGTTTAAAGTTTTTTGGTCATAAGCGCTAATGGAAATGTTTTTCCGTAAATAATTATAAAAATTACTCCCTACGAAGACTTTATTGTGTACTGGATCAAAAAATAAGTATTTGTTTTCTCTATACGGTGGTATTAATATATCGATTTTTGATGATAGTGCCCTTTTACCCGGTCTAATTTTGTACTACTTTCGGAATAAGGGTCCCCATATCATGTACTGTACTTCCATCCCTGAAAATTCAGCTTGTGACACCGAAGTGAGAGGTAACGTCAAAATAAGCTTTAATCTACCTACATCATAGGTAGGTGTAGGTACTCTAGGTATATTCTACCTAGACAGTAGCTGAACTAGCTGACAGTAGTAATTAATTTGTTATCCGATAAGTAGTTGTCATTATATAAGTTTAATCATCTTATACCTCCTATAACGGTAGGTTTTGGATTTTTCCTGATTGGTTTGTTAAACAAAAATATACTGGGCATATAAATGTCTATTACCGGTTAATTCGTTAAAGAAATATGTTACACACATATTATTTTAATAATAATAGTATAATAGTAATGGCTATATTATGTTATAACACATACATATGTATTGAATGTACTTATTTTAACCAATGTATTGTTTTGTTTTTTTAATCTCACAAATAAGAAATGTGTTATAGTTTTTATTATAAAAAACAGTGATTATACAATTTATTTACACCCCTTACACTGTTTTCTGTAAGGGGTGTAACCAGGAGTATATTTCGTAACTTCTTACGATATAAGAGGGCCCCCCACAAAGTGTTTTATTACTTAATGCTTAAAATTTAATAATATATTTGTACATAAAATAAAATAGACTGGAAAGTCAATTAATTAATATTGACGTAATTACTAAATAAGTACAAGATTTTTTTTTCTAATTATTTTAGTGTATTTTTAGTCACCTAATTATAAAGGAGAGATATCCAACCATTGCATTATTTTACTCACAAATAAATGTTTTATGGTTTTTATTATAAAACAACGATTAATTTATTATACACCCCTTAACCCAAACACTCCAAGGAGGATATTTCGTGACCCCATATTTAAAGTGGACAAGCTTTATTAGTCAATGTTTTATTTACCCAGCGTCTTTAATAAAAATCTAATGTAATTTTTCATAGAAATGATCTGACATAAAAAGAAAATTTTATCAAAAAACTTTTTGATTATCTACAAGGAGTAAACCGCTGACAAATGTCTGTATACTAATGCCAAAGTAATGCCAAAAATTCAAATTAAATACCAAAATTTCTCATATAATGCCCCACTAATGCCAAGCTGATTCCAATATAATACCACTAATACTACGAATAATATGTAAAACATTTGTTTCACGCATTAACCTGTAACAATACTGGTAGGTACGTGCACAGATTTT